TGGCCCGCAACGAACGCTGTCTCGTTCGCTCCTTGGTTGCCCGGACCCCTTGGCCGCGCAACAATGTGTCTTTGCATTGGTGATGGTCTCCGCGTCGAAAAGCTTTTTCGATGGTAGTCGTTGCATAGCGGGAGCCTTTCGTCGCTGGGCGGCCGCCTCCTCGGCAGCCAAACGGCATTGCGTAGCTAGGCATTTTAAAATTAGTAGGGGAGGGCGGAGGCATGCTGCAGCCTTGTTGCGCGGGACTGGCAGTCCTCTGTTGAGCTCTGTCGACCCCGCGGGTTTCCCACTTCAGCACCTTGAGCGATAGACCCCCACACTTGGGATGCGCTCATTTTTTTATTGTCATTTTCCCCTAAATCGCAGGGGCGCTTTTAAATAAAGAAACACCGTTTTATTGTTCTAAATTGATTGTTGCAGTGGAAACGGAATCTCTTTTGTTTAACTTTGCGTGCGTGCTTTCTTTTTATCGCGCCTGACTTGGGCATGGCGCTGAACGCTCTCAAATAAGCTTTGCGTAAAAAGAAAGTTGCCGGGAGTTTCTGCGCAAGCGCCCCCCACCACCCACGCAAGTAGCGAATTAATTCTCCGCCCATTTCTTCCCCGTAACCTCGCCCAAGAGGGCTGGGAAAAGGAGGCCGCAGGAAAAAGACTGATTGAAATGGCGCTGAGGAAAACTGAGGGAGAGTGCCGCGCGCTGCTGTTGATGTTTTTTTTTTGCGCGCCGGCCGCCTGATCGTTCGATGCGGAACCGTCGTGTATCCGCAAATTTTAAAAAAGGGACAGGCTTTTTGATCGTTCCTTCTTTTTAGGCTTCCCATCTCCGGGTCAGCGGCGTGGTGGGAAAGGGCCTGCGCCTGCCGGACGGGCCACAAAAACGTGACGTTCTTCACGGGCTAAAATAGAGAGCTTTTTTGTCCGCGAAAAGATGAGGGCCAAAGAAAAGGAAATTCATTTTGTATACTTGTTTTCGGTGGTGGCAGGGCCTTCCCGCAGGGAGCGAGAGCCACCGGGGGCCGTCTGTTTCGGGGGATGGAAACGAACAAAAACACCTAGCAGCGGGCCGCCGGCCCACCACAAGAATTATAGTTAAGGTGTCTCGTTGGCCGCCGACGCGCCCACGCCGAGTCGCGCCCCCAGTGCGCCATCTCGACGGGCTAGAAATGATGGGGCGGCGGGTTGGGGGTCTTGTTGTGGCCGGCTGGCTCGGCAGTCACGGGCACAAACGGTGTTGTTTTCACAGGGTTGAGGGGCTCCTGGTGTGAGGTTTTTTTTCCCGTTCCTTATTTACACCGCCGCTTGCCGGCACTTCGCTTTCTTCTTGCGAACTCCATGCGGCGCGCGACGCTAAAACCTACGGCTACCATGGGGAGTGGAACTAAGCCGCCCCCCGAGGTGCTCCAACGTAGTGCTCCCCACCCCGCCCACCCGGCGCAAGCAAAACCTGCAACTCTGACGGCGTGGGGGGCGCTCCTTTGCACCGCATTTTCTACAGCCTGGGAAGTGTAAATGGAACCCCTGAGTTAACAGCTTCAAGCATACAATTGCAAAACGTCGGCATCCGGCGTTAAGGCCCCCACAAAGGTGCGTAGAATTTCCCCTCTTAAGCATTGCCCTCGCGGCGTGCACGAAAATGGCCCCAAGTTCTGGGACCGCGCCCCCACGGAGGCAGAGCGCATTTTGCTACCGAGAGCAAGGTTCGCTGCCACCTGCACTCGCGATCGCCCGACCGCAAAGCAGAAACGCAACGGACAAGGAATCAGTTCATCCTTTTTTTCTGGGAGCCATTGCGCACTACACATTTCAGGCGCAACCGCGAGTCAGCCACAGGCGAAGCATTGGCCTGGAAATACACATCTGGACGCAAGGCGGCTTCCCAACCACACCCCGCATCTGCGCTGACGGGCGGTGGGCAACGCACTTTTAGGAGAGCACAGCGAGCAGCGAATGCTCTCAATTGCAGATTTCTCCCTCCCTTTACCCATCTCGCAAACCAACAAGGGGTTTCTGCACGATGAGACCGACAGCAAGAGTCTCTGGGAGTTGCTCCGCACGCCCCACCCAGGCCGCAAAGCAACGAAGAGCCAACCGCCGACTCCACGATGGATCGCCCCCATCTTCTCGAGACACTCTCTTTGGCATGCCGAAACCACTGCTTGCCGCGTTGGGGGTCAAACTGTAGGGCAAAACCCCTGCACCAGACAGCGTGCGTGTTGGGGCGCTAGGGCACCTCTTGGCGAAAGGCATCTGGTTGCTTATCCTCTAGATCCAACACGGTTTGGCGGCCGGTGTGGTTTTGGTCGAGCGGAGGCGTGCCGCTATTGTCCAACTCTTGAAACCTGGAAAGCCGCCCAAGCAGTTAGAGCCGCACCGACCCACCAGCCCCACCCCCATTGTCAGTGAGGTTGCTGAGAACATGATACCGACTGAAGGGACTGCTTTGGGTATGGATGCCGCGCCCCCACCAGCATGCGAGCCACAGTGTGCGCACCGCGGCGGTGTAGCTGCCCCACATGGCTCACAAAGCGGGGCGCAACGGAGACGGTTAATTCCCCGCGCGCCGCTGTGAGACCTGCGGTGTTACCTCGCACTCCGAAGCTCCTCAGCATGGGCCTCAATCCTCCACTGTTGCTTAATGCGGCAGTCCCCAAGCAGTGCGCCACCGCCTTGCAGATAATTCCCCTGCTACGCCCCGGATCGCATAAAGCAGCTGGTGTGCCTCTTTGTGAGCTACGGGCGTTTGCCCTTTGGTATTGTGCCTCCAAACTTCTCTAAAGCAATGGACTCATATGAGCTGCGCCAACGGACTCGGTAAAAAACAATAGCAACAACGACGTGCGCCGCCAGCAAAGCTCCAAGCACGACTGACCGGGAGCCGCCCTCCTGGTGGCCAATATACCTCGACTCCGCGTTTTCCGCCTACACGTTCGCCTCGCAATCTTTGAAAACATCTGGGCGTGTAAGATGGACTAGGTGAGTAAGTTCCTCGCCTGAGCCGCCGCTACGCGCCGGTTTCTGCGTCTCGCCACTCTCTCGGGATAAGCTCCACGCCTTTGTTGATAAGAAAACAAGGAAGTTTGGCATCACCGATAAAAACTCCACGCAAGGAACGGCCTTTTCACAGCTCCATTTCTACCTTTTCGGTGGCGCCCGCCAGCTGGGCATCTATTGGCGCGGAACTCCCAATGGATTGCTCGATCGCCGGCGAAAAGAAGCTTAAAATGAAGAAGCTCAGAACCAGCAAAGCGGATCTGGCACAACACACACACCGCGCGTGGACACTCGCAACGGATGGTGGTGTCGACGCTTACTTGCCAGCTGGGGCAAGAATACCGATTTCTTCTCTGCACCGCCCTGGGGTTATAGAGAATGTCCGCGTTCACCGCGGCATACGCCCGCACAACTACAGGACGGAATCTTGTACGCTGCTGCTTCTGGCCCTCAACAAACTGATCGTTCTCTGCACCCAGCACGGTAACAAAACACCATGCGTGGTTACATATAGTCAGTCCCTTCTGGCTGCCCGCAACAAAGGCCCACCCAGTCAAACCGACAGTACGAAAGACCAGATCTGGCAGTGCCTCTCGACACTGAGGCGTGTTGGCCGGTCAGTGCATCTGCAGTTTTGTTACGGACACCGTGGAATACCTGCAAATGGCACTGCCAATGAATGTGCGACGCCGAACGCAACAACTGCTCTGCACACAGAAAAGCGTATAGCATCTCCGCGGCATACAGATCTGCTGGCATGCCTCACCGCAAAACTCGCCAAAGCGTGGCGCGCAACCACGCCTCAAGACACACACCGCCGTATGCTATGCTTTGCAGCGTCCTTTGGCTTCAGCGGCGATGGTCCAATTGCGCAGGAGGACCTTGTTTGAACTGAACTGGCGCACCTGGCACAAGCACGCCGTGGGGAGTCTGGGCTCTGGAATCGCTAATTCTCAACAGTGAGAAGTTATTTTACTCACTTTCGTTCTTGAGCTCTTTAGCCAGAACAAGCTGCAATCGTGCGCTCCAGCCCCGACCCACGTGCACTATGGACGGGCGCTGCCTATCCGACGCGGCCTGCGACTGCCGCATCTCCCGCGGGAAAACGGCCGTCCACAAGTCGTCAAAAGGAGAAATGCCCGTACTGTGATGCCGTGTGGGTGGGTGGCGAAAACCTCACCGTGCATTGTCGTCGGCCCCTTTGCCCGTGATGCCCTCCGCCCCTTTCTGGGCCGAAATGCGGCTTCTGTGGTGTGGTCTTCCGTTCAAACACAAGCCCCGCACAACACAGAACGCACTGAGCACACACTCTGGACGGTAAGGGAAATCGAAACAGTAGCACAAGGCGGCGAACGTTGCAGCTGCAGTGCTGGCGGGCCTTCGCGAACGGGGCGGATGGCCCGCAACGAACGCTGTCTCGTTCGCTCCTTGGTTGCCCGGACCCCTTGGCCGCGCAACAATGTGTCTTTGCATTGGTGATGGTCTCCGCGTCGAAAAGCTTTTTCGATGGTAGTCGTTGCATAGCGGGAGCCTTTCGTCGCTGGGCGGCCGCCTCCTCGGCAGCCAAACGGCATTGCGTAGCTAGGCATTTTAAAATTAGTAGGGGAGGGCGGAGGCATGCTGCAGCCTTGTTGCGCGGGACTGGCAGTCCTCTGTTGAGCTCTGTCGACCCCGCGGGTTTCCCACTTCAGCACCTTGAGCGATAGACCCCCACACTTGGGATGCGCTCATTTTTTTATTGTCATTTTCCCCTAAATCGCAGGGGCGCTTTTAAATAAAGAAACACCGTTTTATTGTTCTAAATTGATTGTTGCAGTG